ACACAGAAAATGTCATTGACAGATAGGAACTGAAGCGTAGAGGGGCAGATCCTGAAAAAGATATTTAGGCTCCTATGGCCCTTTCATTTCAGTGGCAATTAGGAGTCTTTGAGGATCTGGGCCAGAGAGTCTTAAAGGCCAGATTTTCCAAGGTGTTGACGTGTCTAAAGATGCATCTAGGTGCCTACTGGTGTTTCAAATGTGCCAGACTCCCATTAATAGACACGTAAATATCTTTGGAAATCTGGCCCTAAGTGACTTGCCCAGGATGGCACAGAGTGTCTGTGGCAGAGCCAGGAATCCAACCCAGATCTCCTGGGTCTCAGTCCAGCGTCTTCACCGCAAGCCCATCCCATCTTCTCTGTCTTTGGCCCATGGAAGTTGTGCTAGCTGGCCAAACCTAGACGTCAGCAGTCCTCTAGCAATGATGCATCGGGTTGCTGCCCTGCATAACCCCCCCCCCCCTTTCTTTTGTCAGCAAATCCTCAGCGTATGCCGTGCAGCCGGGCACACAAGCAGGGGGTGGGACCAGCTCCCCAGAGGGCCAGCGCTTGGTGGCAAGGATCATCCATCACCCTGACTATGCTCACTCCCCCGGCATTGCTGTTCACCTCTGCCATTCAACCCATCTGAATTCCTGAGCCCCTTCAGCTTGTGCCATCTGGGACCACGTGCTGGACAGCGGCGTCCAAAACCAGTGCCTGTAAGGGAGGCGCATCCTGACACTAGGGCTTTGAATGAGTGTGGGGACAGGTTTCAGGCTGGGTGTGAAGAAGGGGGAAAAATCCTATTTGGGGTTCACTCCTCCAGCGGGGGAAAGGGGGAGAGAGTGCAGGGGGAATGGGGGGGGGGCACTGCTGTGGTTACTTCTATTACTTGGGAAGCACTAAATGCCTGGAGGAGCTGGACCTCAGATACTACAGAGACAAGGGCCATGCAAGTACCTGAACAGGTGGCCTGTGGGGTTCAGTGCACTGGTGATACAATTAATCACCCGCCTCCAGGACCCCACAATTGCAATCCTGATCTCCCTGGCTACCTGTAAATGTTACCAGTGACCCTGTGCGCACAGTGCTATCAGGTGAGAAACTTGGGCTGGGTTCCCAGTTCCACTCGCCCCCCCCCCCCCAAGGGCTCTCCTAACGCTCAGGCCCTAGGGAAGGAAAAGAGAGACACAGGTCAGCTGTCCTCAGCCAGCGAAGGTCACTCTGACAAAGCAGACTCCGTCATGCGTCTGACGAAGTGGGTATTCACCCCCGAAAGCTGATGCTCCAATACTTCTGTTAGTCTATAAGGTGCCACAGGACTCTTTGTCGCTTTTTACTCTGACAAAGGGGACTCGGAAAGTCGCAGGCACAATAGAGCTGTTCAAAGCTGGGTTTGCTGTCCAGGTGCGTGTGCCGGAAGGCATCCCCTTTGGAAGGTGGAAAATCCACCCGGACTGCCTCGGCGGGATAAAACTCCCTTTAGAGAGAGCAGAAACGGAGGCGATTACCCTGCCGCAGTCCAACACTTATGCACAGATAGGGACAAGCACTGAGCTACCACAGATCTCAGGGATAGATTATTTTTTAAAGTAATTACTGTACAGTCTTTTTCTTTTAATTCTCTGGCTCCCCCGTGAGGAAAAACCGTGCAGTGCAGCTTCCAACCAGCAATGCTGCTGTGAGGGGTTAAAAATATACCACGGCCCATGATCTTTTTTTACCCTTTTCCTTGTGGTTGCAGTGCAGTAGATTCCTTTCTCTCCTCCCTCCAGCCTTATGCTCTTTCCTGCATGTGACCCTATTCTCTGTCCCTCTCCCTCTTTGTTATGAGGAATCTGGAAAGAAGCACTGAACCCAGTCCTGGGGAATTTAGATTTAGTGAATTTCCCTTAATACTGACATTGGAAGAAACAACCAGGAGTCCAGGGGCACCTTAAAGACTAACAGATTTATTTGGGCACAAGCTTTCGTGGGTAAAAAACCCACTTCTTCAGATGCATGGAGTGAAAATTACAGATGCTGGCATTATATACTGACACATGAAGAGAAGGGAGTTACCTCACAAGAAAGGCCAGAACTGCAAAGGTACGTAGGCTCCTAACTTCCATACCTTTGAGGATCTGGATCAAAGTCCCCCGTTGAGCCAGTGCATCAAAATGGGTAGACGAATTCTAATGTTAGTGAAATGGCTGCTTAGAGGAAAGGTGCTCTGTAGAAACGATGGCTTGGCTAGATGTGATTTACACATTTTATACAGCTGAATATGTCCTAGTGACTGGAATGGTGGGGCGGAGGGGGGCAGGATCTGTCCAAATTATGGAGAAATAAGAGACACTGGTTGCCAGGATAAGAAATATGATTTTTTTAAAAAGTAGATGCTAGTGATAATGCAGATAAGAACTATAAGAGTAAAATTTCCAATCGTCTCACAGGGAGTTTTGGGTACTTTATGGGCACTTTATGGGCATAAACTAACCCCAAGAGTCACTAACTAGACCCCATGTGAATTCTTCTGCTAGATCTCCAAGAAGAATGCACTCCCGTAAGGATTTGCTTGGGGGTGAATGATCTTAGTGTACGTTTTTCCATCAGGAGCAGCAACGTAGTGCTCCCTCAGAGAGAACTGGTTGGATTAGTACAAGTGAAAATGCTCAGGCAGAGAGAGTGGAGACCACAAGATAAAGTCTGAAAAACCATTCGAAGCCTTAAGAATGCAGGTTCTGCTCTGGGGCTAGAATGGTCAGACATCACTTCAGAGCTTTGTGGCTTTCTTCCCAGCAGCTGCACCCCCGGCACTTGCCTGGAGCGTAGCATCCGCTGCTAGCTCTCCTCATCTGACCACACACCTAGCAACATGTGCCCAGAATTCTCCATCTGTAAAGCCAGGGCACGAGGTACTTGTCCTTCTGCCTCCGCCATCACCATCCAGCACTGCCAATATAAGCAAGTCCTTCTCAACCACCATCCTCTGCCCTCGCCTGGGATTGTGCTAGTGGATGGGACCAGCCATTGCTGCCGACAGGTGAGGCTGGTGACTAGCGCCCTGAACACCATCACTACGATTGGCAGTGTCATGGCCCACTTAGCTGCTGTTGTACTGCAGTAGGGGGAGCACTACAAGAACCCCCTCTCTCCTACATACTCAGTTTCCATGGCTGGTAGCTCATCTTTCTGTCCCTGTCTCCACAGATGGCAGCTGGAGGAGCCTGTGTGCGCCCAGGAAAGAATGAGCTGCTTTTCATTGAAAGAATCATCCCATCCACGATAAAACACCAAACCCGGCATCCCTATGCTGCATTCGCTAAGGTTGCTCCTTTTGTTCCATGGATGCAACCCTACCTTCTCACCTGAGTGTGTGCACGGGTGCTTGTTGGGTTGGAGTTTGTAGGCCCTTGTGCTCCGCTCCTCAATCTAACTGATGGAGCTACATTGGGTGCATGTTCTTACAGGCATGTGAGAATACATTTTCAGAGGCGCTCACACGCCCCGCATGCTCCTTTGACTATGCAGTGTGTACCAAAGATCCTCAAAGGTATGGAAGTTAGGAGCCTACATACCTTTGCAGTTCTGGCCTTTCTTGTGAGGTAACTCCCTTCTCTTCATGTGTCAGTATATAATGCCTGCATCTGTAATTTTCACTCCATGCATCTGAAGAAGTGAGGTTTTTTACCCATGAAAGCTTATGCCCAAATAAATCTGTTAGTCTTTAAGGTGCCCCTGGACTCCTGGTTGTTTCTTCCAATGTCACTATAAAGGGAAATTCACTAATTCTAAATTCCCCAGGACTGGGTTCAGTGCGTGTTATCACTCCCGTGAATGGACTGACCTGTATCCCATAGCTCTTAAGAGCAATCCTCCATGGCTTGCACCTCCGTACATGAGAACCTCTAAGGCAGATCAATCAGATTGTTTTAGCACAGTAGGGCCAAATTCATTGCTGATGTAACTCCTCCGACGCCAGTGGAGTTACACCAGTAATGAGCTAGGCTCATGATGTACGGATTCCAATTGGCCATGAACAGCGTTGTTTCTGTCACTACTTCGGCCTGTAATGCATGTATTGGGTCTATACTGCTGCAGCCAGTGGCCTAGGCATGCACAGAGCTTACAATTTGCATGTTTTCTGGTGAAGATTCCCTAGGGCAACATTTTTGCCACCTGATAATAAAAATGAGGCCAGAAAAATCCATAAGCGCAATGGCACCAATGTGAAATTAAGCTTCCTTGGGTAACATGCTGCCAGCAGCATTAACATATACAATGCTGGGTAATGGAGGAGCAGAGGATTTCCAGCACAGGCTTCAACAATACTACAGTCCAAGGAAAATCAATAAAAAACACTAAGGAAGAACTGAGGAGAGAGAATGGGGAATAAAATTAACGCACTTAACAGCAATAAAGGTTAGGGGAGCAGGGAAAAGGAGACGCTTCTGATTTCATTAAGGAGCAGATCAATGGCTTTAGCTGTCTGGTTGGTCTTTGGGTGAAGGAAAAGTGTAAACAACCCAGTGAAAAATCACTGGACACAGGAACCAATACTTTAAAATCCTGTGTACACATATATAAAAACATTTTGCCTTGCTGGAGCAGCTTCCTAGCCCAGATCTCAAAAGGCTTTAGTGCATTTAGCCACACACCATGTAGGTGGATAGAGATCACATTATAACTGGGGAAATAACTAATAACTAAAAAACTAATAATAGTTTCAGCTAAGGATGAACCCGAAGCATTACCCATGATGCAGCTTCCATGCGTCCTCACATTCCCTCCCACTTGGACCCTGCATCAGTTTCCCGAGGTTCCCTGCTGATGCACGCCCCACAGGCCCACTCTAAGTATTCTGGTAGAGAATCACTGTGATTGACTAGTTCTGGCTGTTCACTGATTTAATAAATTGATGGGTTTGATAGCTAGCAAGGGGGCATGGGATTGCATGTGGCTTCAGTTATCAGCACAGGCTGTGAGCAGAATGAGGAGCAAGGGGAGGAGAAAGGCATGAGGGGTAAGGCCTTTATTTTTCAAGTGTGTTTGAATCCAAGCACATGCATTAAGAAAACAATGGCCCAACTCATCCCCTCCCCAGTCTCCTCTTGTTGGACGGAAACGGTGCAGCAATGGGCAGAGATCAGCACTTGGATAAAAGCGAGTTGTTTGTAACTTACTCCAGGTAAGATAAAGGTCGCATTGCGGCAGAAGTGATTTCTTCTCCCTCCCTTGAGATGGTTAGCATTACTATGATTGACAAGCTAAACGTCTTAGCGGGTTCTCAGTTGACAGCAGTCGCCAACATTTATTTCATCTGCATCTGGCAAGGAGGGTGTGAACCTCCCTCTCCAATACAGACCTTGCTTGTACCGCTAATCAGCCTTTCACCACTAGCTCGAACGATAGTAATGCGCTGTGAGCTACGCTTGAAGACTACTTGACATTTCAGCTAATGAAGAAAGCAGCCACCCACCACTTGTGGTTCTCATACAAAGCACACAACTCCTGTCTTCAGAGCCTGCACCAGTGGTTTCCAGACAGTTTCTAGGTGCAACTGGAAGGGCTGACTTTGACCTACAAAGCCCTGCATGATTTGTGCACTCAGAAGATAATTCAGTCTTCATGCCTGATCCTGGGAAGTGAGGTCAGCTGGGCTGCTCTCCAAGTTTGAACAGCTGGGGGCTCCTTGGCTGCAGCACACATCCCCTGTTCATCCAACAAAGGCCTGGCTTCCTGACCAGCTTGGTGCAAGGGCTTGATTTACCCAGGCTTTACACCCAACAGGGAGGGCAGAGTAAGGGAAGTTCCTTTTAGCTGAAGTTTTGTAAACTCGTTATACCTTGGGGACGTCCTTCACTGCTCTCACAGTGACTGACATGGGAGCAACTTTTATAAGTCAATATTTTAGTGGATATGCCTTTCCACGAGCATATACCATTAGATGATGTCTGTCAGACACTGCATTCAGCAATGACGAGAAGGGTTAACGTTCCCCATTACCTCTGCAGTACCAACGTTCACCAGTGGGTGTGTCTCTTCACCGACTAACAGAGCTAGCGTGCTGTAGCAAGTGTGGGGCTCCACCAGTGATGAATGTGATCCCCAGACACTACAGAAGAGACACTCCCGTTTTTGGTTTCGGCCAGGAAATCAGAGGAGGCTACTAAGTCGTTTGCTTTTCAAATTAAACTAAAAGGTTACATTTTACATGGAAATGTATATAAAGCAGCCAGTACCAACACTCATCTCTATGCTACAGCATTTGGAAATATTTTTGGTAGAGCCTATTGGTTTGTAGGCAAAAGGCCTCACACCTGTCAGTGACCAATGTAGAAATATAGGCATGTGTTTGACTGACAGTGGTCACTCACCCCCCCCCCCTTGATTTTATCCCTATCTCTAGTGTTTCTTCTAGGCTTTTAAACAAAATCAGAACAAAACCTCTAGAAAAGCATCTCATCTGTCACCCTGCATTAAATACAGTCACAGTAGAAATGCTTCCAGCGCCTAGGGAAGAGGTACACCATCGCATAAGTCACCTTTGAAAATGTGGTGGCGCACAGTGAATTGTTGTGTTTGTGAATGAGATGGTAACCGCAGCCATCTCCAGCAGTAACACACACAGGTTCTGAGACCAGCCGCATCTTCGTCAGACAGCTCCGCCCAGAGACCTCCATCTTCCCATGCGACTCTCCTGGCTATTCCAACCCTGGCCCACAAGGTTCTAATTTTGTACCTCAGTCTTCTCTCAATGTCTCTGTCTTCCTATGGTGATTGGCAATCACCTGATATTCACATTAATAGCTGGTAGTGGAGCATCAACGCAGAGGGACCTTGCCCTTTCAGACACTGACAGGATGAAAATTTAGGAGTCGGTGATCTATAAATACTGATGTCAGCGCCTAATCTAGCCCTTCTCGCCTGACCCAAGAATCCTGATGCGGAACAGAATAGAAACCATCATATTCTCCCTGATATGCAGTTTTCTTTTACTTTGGTGCCTATAGCAATGTTAGGCACGGTGAATTACGATGATAGTTTTCACTTCATTCAACATCTTTTCTAAGTACTTCAACACACTCTTAAAATAAGAAGTAAATTTCACTTCCCTCTAGGAGCCAGAAGTTATCCCCATTTTAGAGATGGGGAAACAAACATAGATTAATGAACTTTCCATCCAGGATAATACAGTGAGAAGTGACAGACCTGGGACTAGAACACAGATCTTTTGAGTCCCAGCACGCTGATCTAACTAGCAGACACCTCCCACAACCCCCCGCTTATGTTAGTTGTCTCCAATACTAACTTTGGCACCAAAGACCATTCTAAAAGCTCATCAAATGCTGCATAGAAGGGTCACAGCTAAATTCCATTTGATTCAGCCCTGTTCGTTTTAAAAGCCCTTCTCAAGCCTTGGAATTTATTAATTTATATACAGTAGCTTAAGTCTACCCTCATACTCCCTGTGAATATCCTAAATCCCTTAAATAAGATTCACCCACCCCTTTTGCAAATATCTAGGACAGCCTCATGAATCAAAGCTGGCATTGTGGGCAGCATGCAAAGTTACTGTAGGTGCCTGCCGTGGAGACTACGTGACAGCAACATGAAGAAGGCAGCCCGCGTGGCTGATGCTAATTAGAGACTCTCTAGCAGATGGAACAGCAGCTATTCTGCGTGGCAGAAAATGCCACCATATAGTTCACTCCACCGCCCCCCCAATCTCAGCTCAGATTCCAAGGCCAGAAAGGACCACTGTGATCATCTTATCTGTCCTCCTAGGTAACACAGCGCACAGAACTTCCCCATGGAAACACAAACCCGTTCAAACACACAGCCTGCAACCATGTCAGCATCAACCCTTTCCAAGGCATAACTATAAAAGCAGCTCTCTCTTCCCCATCTCCATTTAAACACTGATGTTAAATTAATCCGGTGTCAGTTATACAGCAAGCAGGTGACCGGAAACCCAGCATATGGGTCCTGGCTATACTGGAACTGTAAATGAGTCAAGGACCTACCTTAGTCCCTGTAGTCAGGTTAAAACCCAACTAGTCCAGTGTTTTGACCATTCATGCCCATCTACACTACAGCATAATTGAGTCAAGGGACAAGTATGTTGTAACCAGGACCCGAGCTGTAGTATAGAGAGATAAGGCCATAGCCCCAATGTGTAGTGAGGAATCCACATGAGAATGAAGGACAGACAGGTAATGGTCACAGCCTTCAGCCAAGATAAAAAATGTATCAAAATTAAAAAGGAAAATAAATAAAAGAAAGAACCGGAACCTTGGAAAAAATGTCTATAAGCAGTCTGCAGTGGGAGAGAAAACTCAGGGGCTGTGGTCGACGGTCCGATTTGACCCCAGTCATCCCAGGCACCATCAGTTAAAATCAGATGAATCCTTCTGAAGCAGTCTCCTTTCTCAGCATCACTCCATTGCAAGCTGTTCACACAATGGTCGGCGAGAGGAGAAGGGTCCTGCTCTTCTTTGGATGATCAGTGTATCTGGACTCCTGAAAGCTCAGCTGGCACTTTCTCTGCAGGGGAACCTGATGCGTACTGAAACTTGGCCTCCAAGTTCTCCATCCCCGTGGGTATCCGAGAATCAGGCAGACATGCACCTTGGGGGGAGTGGGGATCAGCTGGTTGGCAGCAGTGTCCAGGTGAGGCACCAAAGTGGCTCTGCACATAGAATTTCCCAAAGGCAGGGTTGGTTTGGTATGGGGGGGAACCATGGATGTGCGCTGGTGTGCAGCTGTGGCAGGATCCCAGGCTCTGGGCACTGGGGTGCTGCAGCTGAACCACAGGAAGGGCTGGAGGTGAAGAGCAATAGTAGCTCTGGGTAGGGTATGAGCCTGGCACTGGATTAATCCTGAAGAGAAAAGGGGAAAGAAAAATTACAGTGTGTTCACATCTGGCATTTCCAAATATCGACAAGCGCGAGTACTGATCAAATCGAAAGAATGGGGAGTCACAAAGACCACAACTGCCAAATACCCAGAAGGATTGTTCCTTTATTACCTCGATGTCAGTTCTTGCATTCATGGGCCACAAAACATTAATGCAAAAGCATACAACTCCGTAGAAATCTATTCTGTCTGGTCGTGAACTTGATACTTGAACTTGAATCCTAGCAGACAAGTGGAACAACATATAGCAAAAAACCTTACAATTGCTTTGGTTCTTTACACTGGGATAAACTTAAGCTGCAGAAATAAGAATAGGATTTGTGTTTGGTAAATAAAGTTACATGCAAGCCTAGCTCAGTTAATCTGGAAAGTCCTAGAAACACCTTCCCACACAGACATTTATTGATAGCTAACGTTTATATAACACCTTTCACCCAAGAGAGTCTGTATTTCATCTCACCCAAGATACAGAGCCTTCAGAAGCACAGCAAAGGCTTTCACCAAACAAAGACATTATTAGTAATAGTGCTGTAACTTCATGGCTCCAACAGAAGTCCTGGCCCCACTGAGCTAGGCACAGTACATATGCACAGAGCCCCAAAGAGCTTAAAGGCACTGGGTCAGTATAACCCCCTGAGGTACAAACTTCCTCCTGCTCCCCTTGGGCTCGTCTATGTGGAGAGGGAGTGCATGATACGCTGGGGTGTAACTCTACAGTGCTGTAACCCGCCATGCGCTATCTATCTATTTGGACCCCGCTACCAGGCACTAGAAGTTCCATGCTGCTGCAGATCAAAGCCCACTACGGAACTTTTAGCACATGCCAGGTGCACAGCAGGCTACAGCACTGTAGATCTACACCCTAGCTTGCCACCTATCAACTTGTCACATACACAAACCCTTTGTCTCCCTTGCAAGCATTGTCAGGGCATGTTCCAGTTTAGCTTAGATCTAGTGACACCGCCCGAGGTGGTATTGTTACAGGCATGTTTTTATACCTCAGATTTCCCCCTTTGGTCATAAGAGAACAGCTGTAATCATGGGGAAATACTTCTCTGTTAGAGAACTCACCGCAGTTCTTCAGCTACATAGCAGTTTAACCCTATTAAAAAAATCCTCCTCTGTCCATTGAGATTGGAATGTTGGTAGTAAAGGTGCTTTAGAACGGGATAAAATTCCACCTAATTTCTAAACCTATCAGAAGACAAGTGAGCACTCACAGCTACAGGACATAAAGGCCCTGAACTCTATTTCTGCAGAGAAATCTTCCCTCTACACTGGAAACGTGCTCTGTAATGAAGGCAATGACAACTTAATAACTGATACCGTGTTCTTATATCAAGCCCTTCATCAGAGGACTCTCAAAGTGCTGTAGAAGTCCAGTATCCCAACATTCCTGTGAGGCTAAGAGATTTGCCAAAGGTCACCAGTCAAGTAGCACTAGGGTGACCAGACAGCAAATGTGAAAAATCAGGACGGGGGTGGGGGTAATAGGAGCCTATATAAGAAAAAGAGCCAGAAATCAGGACTGTCTCTATAAAATCAGGACATTTGGTCACCCAAAGTAGCACAGCCAGGAACAAAAGCCATACGTCCTGGTTCCCTGTGTAATGTTTTAATCATTAGATTCCACTCCCTCCTCTAACAGGGGAGACAATACTGTGGAGATCATGATAGAGCTTTGCAAGGTCATTTCACGCCAGCACTTGTCAGAGCACACTCCTTACACATCCCAGCTGCAGCCTCCCTTTGGGATTATAAGGAGTGTTATTGGAGTTCATGTACTTACTTCCTACTCTGGGAGGCTCTTCTCTCTGCTAAAGACCCTGGAATATACTTCAGCCCTGGTATTCTCTTCAGCAGGCTGAAAGGGAACTTCTGATCCAGCTTAGATACCACCGACTCCGGGAGATCCAAACAAAAGCAATAGCCAAGACCATCTGAGTTTAGCAGCATGTTAAGGAAGACTGTGGAAGGTTCCAAATGGAGGGGCAGAACAGAATTAACTTTCTACATGCAACCACTCTAAATACACCTCCTTTGTACCACCAAACCAAGGTTTCTCTCAAGGTGGAATGGCTGGAAAAAGCTTCTTCCCACCCCCGTGTTTTCAGACCCGCTGAGCACCATGACTCTCCAGAGCGCATTCCTTGTGTACACAAAAGCCTCACTGACTGCAATGGAAGTGAGGGGTGCAGGATCAGGACCCTCTGAGCAACAATAAACCTAAGAGTCACTAAGCAGCCGACCGAAAGCCATGAACCAGCACAACAAAAAGTCAGCGAGCCTAAGCAATCAGAATTTAGCATTTTTTCCTACTCCTTCCCCATCACAAGTCAGGCTCCCCACATGCTCTTTTCACTGGTTAAACAAGTGATCACACTTGGAAAGGATACAGGCTTTCCCAACTACGAGGCCACATACGTTACTCAGGAGAGAGGAGTGGGGAATAAACCATGCCACGCAGAGCATTAACCAGGGCACCAGCACCATGGGAACGTTAACCCCAAAAAGTGGTGCCCTTCTCATCCGTGAACGCGTGGTGGACACTGCCAACATGGCAAAAGCAACTGGTATAAATCCTTTGGCATCTTCCACTTCTGACACCCCAGAGACGACAGCCTCAAATAAGAGATACAAAAGAGCCGAAGAAATGGCGAAGGCCAAGGTGACGAAGCAATGCTTCACTGTGCCTACGTTCTTCTCAAAGCTGCCAGCAAAGTACCAGATGATAACGCCACTGCATACCAGGGATATCAGATCTTCATAGACAAAGATATAGGTCACCAGTCTGTGAACTGAGCAGACAGTCCTTTTAGAGAGGTACAGACAGCAGTGAGTTTGCTTTAGGCCATTTACTATGTTAAGTTTGATCAGAAGAAGAGAAAATAAAATAGGAAACCACAGGACTTTTTTTTTTAATTCTATCAGGCTGGAGAAGAATCTTCCACAGAATGGGGTGGAAAACAGATAGCTTGGGGCATTTAAATCTAGCCTGAACAAAGCGCCAACTACAGTCAAGATTAGTGCTGTGCTAGCCTGGGGGACATTTTCTTTCTGCTCCTTGGCCCAGCACCAGCGTTTGGGAAAGTGTAATAGTCCGGAAATATCTGAATTGGTCTTGCCAAAAAGTTTTTAGCCTTGTCAGGACAAGAGGCGCACCAGACCTTAAAATCACATCAATCTAATCATGGTTTATTTCTTTCACTTCAACTGTAACACATTAGTAGCTGATATTTCTTCTTTGGACCAGCAGAAGGATACTGACAGGTTTGTAAGATATCATACCTTAGAAGTGCCACAGGGCCCTCAGACTCTCAGTTCTTTCTTCAGCACTGGGCTGCGACTGAACATAGTAAGTCACAGACTTCAAACCAATACAACGTTCAATCTGTGGGTAGGATTTGGTGCCCCAACAAGTCCTCCTCCCACCCTAACTTCTGAGATTCTTATAATATGTAAAATGAAAGAGAATATTGTCTGATATAACTGGTTAGGACCAAAGAGAAGGTAAGAAGAGTACACGACAGATTCAGTTAACCAGAGCAGAAACACAAAAGTCATTTAGTCCTGGGGGGGTGGAGAACATGGGGACTGGGGCATGAACAAAAGGGTATGGGGGGGAAGTATGAAGAACGGAAGGGCAGATTCTTTAAGCTCCTGAGATCTTAACCTCATCCTCCTACCAGAACATTCTGGAACTCAGGAACTCTCCCTTCACCCCACATCAGACAATTACCAGCTTCTACAGTGTTAACATTGCAACCTAGAAGGATAGGTCCCCCCATGAGGAGAGTTCTCCATTGAGGCCCCGGTGTTCCAGCACGAGAAAGGACCGTGGGGAGGGGTGCGTGACAGAGAAGCTGTCCGGAAAGGGTGTAGGACAGGAAATATCAATAGTATTATGCAACTGTACAGCAGCTTTGGGTGGAGAGAGACGTATCTCCTGGGGACGAGGAAGCCCTTTGAAGGCGGGGGTGCACAGGGGCATGCCTGGAAAGGCTGCCCACGGCTGGTGGATTTCTACAGCTGCTGAGGAGGGAGGTGGACCCCAGGAGGGGGAAGGGAGTTTCCAGCAGATAGGACCAGGAGGGAGGAGTGCCCCATGGCGGCTGCTGTACTGGAGGCGGGATCTCATGGGGGATGATCCCTACGGTGGGGGGGTCCCAGGAGAAGACAGCGGGTCGCAGTGGGCGCAGGATGAGGGGGGGCCATGGGAGGGGAGGATCCACGCGAGGTGGGGAGTCCTTGGGTGGCCTATGGGGGGGGAGCAGCTCCCGGGCGGACCCCGTGGAGGCGGGAACTCTCCTCTCCTCACCTTCCCCATCCCGCACCGGCCCGGGCCGCAGCGAGCACGCGGAGGGGGGAGGCGGCCCGGCGGCCCCCGCCCTGTGCAGCAGGCCGGGCCCGGACACCAGCAGGGACAGCAGCGCGGTGAGGCAGGCGGCGGTGGGGAGGCAGGGCCAGGCCCCCGCCCAGCGGCTCTTCCCCGGCCCGGCTGGCATCCTCCCCTTCGGCTCGGGGCCAGCTTCCTGCCGCGGCCCCGCTTCTTCCGGGTTCAGGCCCCTTTCCGCTTCCGGGTGAGGCGGGCAGGGTCGTGCGGCTGCCATAGCAACGGGGCGCCGCCCGCACCGCCCACCGCGCGCCTTAGGCCCCGCCCTCTCCTGCAATGCCCTGGGCGGGGCGCTGTCTCCTTGCCTGGATCAGCTCAGCGCCCTGCCCCCCAGGGGGGTGGGGGCACATGGCACAGGCCACTCCCCCTGGCCTGGGCTGCAAGGGATTGTCTGCCCCCCACCCTCGGTGCCAGGCGCCCAGCCCAAGCGCTTCAGGGCCAGGCCCCAGGCGCTCACGAGGGTTTCACCACGTGCCCAGGTGGGGTTCTGGCCCCTGGCCCCGCTCTGAGCCACCGGGGGCCCGGCTTCCCAGCGTGTCCCCCCAGCCACCCCGCTGACAGCGGAGACTCTCCCGCCACCTCGTGGGTCCCGTCTTTGCCCCAGACACGAGGCCCGTGGCCGGGAGTCAGTGCGGAGAGGAGCCTGCGGATTGCTTTTATTTGACAAGAGCAAAAGCACATTTCCGGGTCTTAAGCAACCAAAGCGTTGACGTTAACAACAGAATGTGGAGCAATAGCACGTCCCTCCCGCGCCATCTTCCCCTTTGCATCTGTCTTCTTCCTCACCAACCCCCCCGCCCCGCCCTTGCGTCTGTTCCCCCTCATGCCTCGCCTCTTCCGCACCAATCCCCCACCCCATAATCTATACTCTCCTCTCTACCTTATGTGGCCCCCCATAACTGTAGAATCTGAACACCGCACAATCTTTCAGATATTCCTCCTCACCACACCCCGGTGAGACGGGCTGGTGCTATTATCCCTATTGTACAGATGGGGAACGGGGACACAAAGAGACGAAGGGCTAGAAATGTAAAGGTCTTTAGCTACCTAAAGAAATAAAAAGGAGTGGCTAAGAGAGGGAAGTGGGGGAGGAGGGTGTGGAGGATGGGAAATGAGAAGGTTATAGGGTCTGATCCTAAACCCAGCAAAATCAATGGCTTTTTCATAGGGAAGTGAAGGGATCTTGAAAATCATCACTCCCGTTGGGCCTTATGGGGCTCGGCTCTTTTGAGAATTGCACCAGGGACCTATCTGCATCTGTAGGCACCGATGTACCTTTACAAATCTGGCCCTAAATGACTTGCCCAGGGTCACACAGGAAGTCTATGGCAGAGCAGGAATTGTCACCGGGTCTCCCAGGCTAACATGCTAACCCCTGGACCAGGGGTAGGCAACCTATGGCACGCGTGTCGAAGGCAGCACACGAGCTCATTTTCAGTGGCACTCACACTGCCCAGGTCCTGGCCACCGGTCTGGGGGGCTCTGCATTTTAATTTAATTTTAAATGAAGCTTCTTAAACATTTTGAAACCTTATTTACTTTACATACAACAATAGTTTAGTTATATATTATAAACTTATAGAAAGAGACCTTCTAAAAAGGTTAAAATGTATTACTGGCACGTGAAACCATAAATTAGAGTGAATAAATGAAGACTCGGCACACAACTTCTGAAAGGTTGCCGACACCTGCCCTGGACTATCCTCCATGCCTTCCTTACTAATTCCCATTCAAGATCCCCCTGCTTCCGTCTCTCACTATGGGGCTGATCTAAAGCCCATTGACTTCATTGAGTTTGGGATCAGACCCTATAACCATCTCGCTTCCCATTCTCAACAATCCTCTTCCCCCATTCTAATCCCGCCACTCCCCTCTTTCAGCCACTCCCCTTCATTTCCATAATGTTGGAGCAATGCTTTGGAAATGTAAAGGGCTATAAAACTGCTAAGCATCATTATTATTCCTTCCTCCATCGTTCTGCTGCTCTCCCACCGCCAGACCCATCAGAGAGCAGTGTCCCCTTGTTGCTGAGGCCTCCAGCATTACAAATCACTCTCAAAATAGTATGTTTAGGCGACAGTTTAAATGGTGTGATTTGCAGCAGAAGAGGCAGCAGCACCCCCGAAGCATTAGGAATAAACCCCTTCCCCCATTTCCTGACTCCTACCAGTTCAGCGTCCCTGCAAAATGCACTGGGCGATCGTTCTGGTCACAAGAGATGACTATATATTTCCAGGCGCTCTTTTCCGCCATGTACTCGCAGTCATTAGGGTATTCCCCAGAGAGTCTGCAATTAGTGACCCTGAATTTACTGATACTCTTTTTATACTTTTGGCCCTTTATGACATGCACTTTCCCCACGGTGCACGTGGCATCGATAACCTCCTCGCGAGCATGAATGAATGTGTTGAGTTTTTTACAGCCATCTCTAGTCATTGCGATCCGTTTGTTTCTCATTTCACTATTACATGTGTTGTGGTCTATGGTGTCCAGCAAGGTCAAATGTTTCCGTCTGAAGGCCATGGGGTTCTGAGCGCGAGAGATGCTGAAGACAGACGTAGCAATGAATAACAGACATATCAGAGACATTCCCTTCAAAGCCATGTTGCTTAGATGGACCTACATTAAAAACAAAGACACAAAGGGATGGAGACCCAAGGAAGGACTTCATAGATTTACAGATTTTAAGGCCAGACGAGGCTATCTTTCATCTAGTCTGAGCTCCTGCATTGCAGAGGCCATAAAATTTCACCCAGTGGATTTTTGCATCAAGCATTTAACTTCTGGTCAAACTAAGAGCTTATCTTTTGGACATCCGATCTTGATGTAAAGATCTTAAGCGATACAGAATCTACCACATCCTTTGATACCTTGCCCCACAGGTTGATTACCCTCCATTAAAAATGTCCACCTTTGACTTCCCACTAGCCTTAAAATGTCTCGCTGCTGCTACACCAGTGCAGCTTCACTGGCGACAGCAAGGGCAGTAGACAAGGCCTTGGCAGCCACAGGCAATTTTACCGTGTGTTATCTAGTATTGCTGTCAGCAAAGTTAGATGATAGCGTGGCAAAATCGCCAGCACTTTGTTCACACTCAGGCTCCCATCCATCATTGCTACCCTGCTACCTGAAATAGTAGGAAATTCTATGGATAAAAAGCCAAGTGTTGAGATAGCTGCAGAATATTATTTGCAGAGCACCTGTGAGACAGTCCGTGCTCCAAGTTGCTTACAGTCTAAGACTGACATTGCTAATACAGTATTGCTGGCCATGTCAGTGCCTAAATAGACAGACATAATACAGAGCAAAAACAGCGATGGAGGCTGTTCATCTTCGACCCGCGCCGCTTCCCGCAGCCTCCATTGGCCTGGAACGGCGAACCGGGGCCAGTGGGAGCCGCGGTCGGCCAAACCTGCGGACGTGGCAGGTAAACAAACCGGCCCGGCCCGCCAGGGGTGCTTCCCCTGGCAGGCTGCCGGCCAAAGGTTGCCGATCTCTGGACTAGCCATACTATAGAGGTCTGCAAGACTGGATCAGCATCAGCTTGTTATTTTTTTGCACTACTGCATGTTCTGGAATCGAAGTTTACAAGGCTTGCTAGTTTCACAACCACGAGCTTTGGTAGATAGTGGTACAATTAATGACAGGATGGCTGTTGCAAAGCTGTATTTTGTAGGAATGGATATAAATGGTAATTCCTAATCATTAGGTATTAATTGACTTGCTGCTAAATGCATTGAGTGACTACATTCCCGCGGAACATGGAAACATCCATAGAGGCCTACTTTGTCCCTTCCAAGAAATGTTTGAAGCAAACCCCTCCAACCTAGAAACCAAGTATTTAATGATTTCTCAGACCAGCAGTTTAGGAGAGTCTCCTTCAGATTTCTTTCAAGGTGTCACATGAAAAATCCTTACAAAAATTCAAAGATACATTTATCTTATTGATGATCAGGAGCTTTCATGAACAATATCATATGTGTATGTAGCATCTGTCACCCACAAGGATCCCAAAGCACTTTGCAGTATATTCAGGGGAACCGCTGAATTCAAAACTAAAATGCAGCCACCTCCAGCCTGAAACATGGTAGCTACTTAACACTGCACAGCAACTCTATACAATGTACACAAGTCAAACTGCAGGGAGCAATTTAAGCCTCCATCCTGCAAAGGCTTAGGCCTGTACTTAGCTTTTATGCACTCTGATGTGTCCCATCAACATCAATGAGATTATTCGCAGGGCACAAAGTTAAGCATATGCATTTATCTTTGGAGCCTTAGGTTGGCAGATTGGGATTATTTGAGCTGGAATTTGGCCCTGGACACCCCTGTTCTTGTGGCAAGTGAAACAGAATCTATGATACGAGCACATATCCAGGACCTCTGTGTTGTATGAAAGTTAAAAGGATAATTGCTCTCATATTTAAATGGGATTTAGCTGAAAGAAATACAGTATATAACTTCCCAGGATGCAGTGTTTAGCAGGAAAAGGTAGAAATACTTTGAACTATTTTAGACTTTTAGAGCTTGGCGGGAGATGAGGGGAGCACAGGGAACAGATTTTCAGAAGTTTCGAATTACTTTCTTCTTCTTCAAAATTAGCTATAAAAAAAAGCAATTTTAGCTTTGGCACCCAGAGGCCAGAAAGCATGAATGAATCAGGCCTCCTGAGTCTGTTCTATTGGCTAGAAGCACCTGGGGTTGTTTAAAGGGCAAAGACATGTATCTGATTGTGCACTTGTATCCGAATTAGAACTCTTTTGCCCCGGTAAGAGTGCAGGATTCTCTGACAGGTGCAGGGATTCTGAGTGGTGCTGGAGTCAGAGAGCTGTCTGAGAACTCCATAAACTGCTGATTTTGATCTCTATCACCCTGCTGCTGTTTAAAATCTGGTCCTTACTTAAGTGCCTAAATGGGAGTTGAGCGGTTTGAAAAATCTGTCCCAATCCCAAGAGCATATCACATGGAGAACTCCCAATGGACATGGACAATTCTTTGTGCAGAGTGCTTAGACCCCAGGTTTACATAATAGGGCTGGGAGCACAGAAGAAAATACAGTTCACTGAGGGGAGAGGTCGTTACTGACCTCGGAACCAAATGTAGGAGTGGGCTGATAAAGTTTGCGGAT